CCACATAGGCCCCCTTCCGATGTCTATATCTCAGCCAATTCTCATCCGATTCCCAAGCGGAGTACCTCAAACGATTTCTGGATCGATTTCCCACCAATCTGCATCAAAACCTGAACACAAAATATTTTTTAGATATTTTTCCAATTTTCCTAGGGGCACCACTGCGAATTCTTGAATTTCCACATAGGCCCCCTTCCGATGTCTATATCTCAGCCAATTCTCATCCGATTCCCAAGCGGAGTACCTCAAACGATTTCTGGATCGATTTCCCACCAATCTGCATCAAAACCTGAACACAAAATATTTTTTAGATATTTTTCCAATTTTCCTAGGGGCACCACTGCGAATTCTTGAATTTCCACATAGGCCCCCTTCCGATGTCTATATCTCAGCCAATTCTCATCCGATTCCTAAGCGGAGTACCTCAAACGATTTCTGGATCGATTTCCCATTAATCTGCATCAAAATCTGAGTACAAAATATTTTTTAGATTTTTTTCCAATTTTCCTAGGGGTACCACTGCGAATTCTTGAATTTCCACATAGGCCCCCTTCCGATGTCTATATCTCAGCCAATTCTCATCCGATTCTCAAGCGGAGTATCTTAAACGATTTCTGGATCGATTTCCCACCAATCTGCATCAAAATCTGAGATTAAAATATTTTTTAGATTTTTTTTCCAATTTTCCCAGGGGTACCCAATTTTCCCCTGCGAATTCTTGAATTTCCACATAGGCCCCCTTCCGATGTCTATATCTCAGCCAATTCTCATCCGATTCCCAAGCGGAGTACCTCAAACGATTTCTGGATCGATTTCCCACCAATCTGCATCAAAATCTGAACACAAAATATTTTTTAGATATTTTTCCAATTTTCCTAGGGGCACCACTGCGAATTCTTGAATTTCCACATAGGCCCCCTTCCGATGTCTATATCTCAGCCAATTCTCATCCGATTCCTAAGCGGAGTACCTCAAACGATTTCTGGATCGATTTCCCATTAATCTGCATCAAAATCTGAGTACAAAATATTTTTTAGATTTTTTTCCAATTTTCCTAGGGGTACCCCTGCGAATTCTTGAATTTCCACATAGGCCCCCTTCCGATGTCTATATCTCAGCCAATTCTCATCCGATTCCCAAGCGGAGTACCTCAAACGATTTCTGGATCGATTTCCCATTAATCTGCATCAAAATCTGAGTACAAAATATTTTTTAGATTTTTTTCCAATTTTCCTAGGGGTACCACTGCGAATTCTTGAATTTCCACATAGGCCCCTTTCCGATGTCTATATCTCAGCCAATTCTTATCCGATTCTCAAGCGGAGTATCTTAAACGATTTCTGGATCGATTTCCCACCAATCTGCATCAAAATCTGAGTACAAAATATTTTTTAGATTTTTTTCCAATTTTCCTAGGGGTACCACTGCGAATTCTTGAATTTCCACATAGGCCCCCTTCCGATGTCTATATCTCAGCCAATTCTCATCCGATTCTCAAGCGGAGTATCTTAAACGATTTCTGGATCGATTTCCCACCAATCTGCATCAAAATCTGAGATTAAAATATTTTTTAGATTTTTTTCCAATTTTCCCAGGGGTACCCCTGCGAATTCTTGAATTTCCACATAGGCCCCCTTCCGATGTCTATATCTCAGCCAATTCTCATCCGATTCCCAAGCGGAGTACCTCAAACGATTTCTGGATCGATTTCCCATTAATCTGCATCAAAATCTGAGTACAAAATATTTTTTAGATTTTTTCCAATTTTCCTAGGGGTACCACTGCGAATTCTTGAATTTCCACATAGGCCCCCTTCCGATGTCTATATCTCAGCCAATTCTCATCCGATTCCCAAGCGGAGTACCTCAAACGATTTCTGGATCGATTTCCCATTAATCTGCATCAAAATCTGAGTACAAAATATTTTTTAGATTTTTTTCCAATTTTCCTAGGGGTACCACTGCGAATTCTTGAATTTCCACATAGGCCCCTTTCCGATGTCTATATCTCAGCCAATTCTTATCCGATTCTCAAGCGGAGTATCTTAAACGATTTCTGGATCGATTTCCCACCAATCTGCATCAAAATCTGAGTACAAAATATTTTTTAGATTTTTTTCCAATTTTCCTAGGGGTACCACTGCGAATTCTTGAATTTCCACATAGGCCCCCTTCCGATGTCTATATCTCAGCCAATTCTCATCCGATTCTCAAGCGGAGTATCTTAAACGATTTCTGGATCGATTTCCCACCAATCTGCATCAAAATCTGAGATTAAAATATTTTTTAGATTTTTTTTCCAATTTTCCCAGGGGTACCCCTGCGAATTCTTGAATTTCCTCATAGGCCCCCTTCCGATGTCTATATCTCAGCCAATTCTCATCCGATTCCCAAGCGGAGTACGATTTCTGGATGGATTTCCCACTAATCTGCATTCTAAGTAGAAAATATTTTTTAGATTTTTTTCCAATTTTCCTAGGGGTACCACTGCGAATTCTTGAATTTCCACATAGGCCCCCTTCCAATGTCTATATCTCAGCCAATTCTCATCCGATTCTCAAGCGGAGTATCTTAAACGATTTCTGGATCGATTTCCCACCAATGTGCATCAAAATCTGAGATTAAAATATTTTTTAGATTTTTTTTCCAATTTTCCCAGGGGTACCCCTGCGAATTCTTGAATTTCCTCATAGGCCCCCTTCCGATGTCTATATCTCAGCCAATTCTCATCCGATTCCCAAGCGGAGTACCTCAAACGATTTCTGGATCGATTTCCCACCAATCTGCATCAAAACCTGAACACAAAATATTTTTTAGATATTTTTCCAATTTTCCTAGGGGCACCACTGCGAATTCTTGAATTTCCACATAGGCCCCCTTCCGATGTCTATATCTCAGCCAATTCTCATCCGATTCCCAAGCGGAGTACCTCAAACGATTTCTGGATCGATTTCCCATTAATCTGCATCAAAATCTGAGTACAAAATATTTTTTAGATTTTTTTCCAATTTTCCTAGGGGTACCACTGCGAATTCTTGAATTTCCACATAGGCCCCTTTCCGATGTCTATATCTCAGCCAATTCTTATCTGATTCTCAAGCGGAGTATCTTAAACGATTTCTGGATCGATTTCCCACCAATCTGCATCAAAATCTGAGTACAAAATATTTTTTAGATTTTTTTCCAATTTTCCTAGGGGTACCACTGCGAATTCTTGAATTTCCACATAGGCCCCCTTCCGATGTCTATATCTCAGCCAATTCTCATCCGATTTGCAGGTGAGGAAATGGATATCGTTCATTCGATTTGCGTCCCCCGCCCCCCGGGGCCATCTGAGCTCCTCTGTTGAATGTTGCCCTTTGAATGGGACCCCCGGGGCAGGACAGTGAGCGTTGCAACGAGCTTGTTTGCTTTTTGTGGAACAGTGGGGGAGTCCGCTGGACAAACATTTGGAAACGTGCGAGTTTTGTTTTGGTTTTGCACCTAAGCCTCCAGATAATCCACACCTGTCTCTTCCGTTGCAACTTTTCCATTTTTTTGGGGGGAAACCCATCATTGTTTTGTATTCCCAGAGGGTCGGACGGCTATTTCCCCTTTCCGGTCCAGTCCCGCCTGCATAAATCAAATATTTGTTAATAATCTGGACCGGCACAGGGACGAGGTCTTCTGCCACCGGACACCAGCAGCAGACCTGCAGCAGACCTGCAGCTCGCCCTTTGACCCAATTGGCCTTTTCATTACCAGCACTGTTTTGTTCCGGGGCTGCAATGCAATCAACATGAAAATAATTAATACAATTAAATGTAAACAATTCGCCGCCTCTCAGGACCTGAATTTATAGGTGTATCTGGGCGGTGGGTGGCACTAGGGTGAGGGGTGTGTTTGCAAAGGCATGTGCGGGTGTGTTTTCCAATTTTAATTAAAACGGAAAACGGCCAGAGATGGGCAGGAGATGTCCTCCATGCATACTTTCATGCGCAATTTGCTTAAATCGAATTACAGGTAGCGACGACATTGGCAATCGAGTTTGCGGACAGAGCCCCAGGACCCTCGATCAGGACCTGCTGCAGGACCTCCATAGCTCTGAGTGCACGCCAATGGAAATTCGATTAACCGGGGAGCTGCCTACTAATTGAGTGGCACAATCACCCGTACAAGCTTTTAGCCTTTCGATGGCGTTTCCAGTTTGAACTTTGAGATTGGGGCAATGGCCTCCAGCCCCCAGGTAACATCATCACTGTTATCTACTTGGTTTTGTAATTAATAAATTAAAATTAAAATTAAAACTAAGTGCAATTGACTAATTGCTGGCAGTACTCAGTCCTCTGGATGAATGGAAATAAGTGCCCTCTGAAGAGCCCTCTCAAGGAGAAGTTCTTGGACGACCCCCCTCGTTGGATGCCGCCACTGGCTGGCCATCAAGAACCGAAGAAACTGTGTCAGACAGAGAACTGCCAAGCTGGAGAAGAAAAGTGAAATATGAACATCAGAAAACATCAGGCAATGGCCTGGTGATGCCTCCTCTCTCCACCTCCTCCTCATCCTCCCCTGTTGGCCATCTCCCCTCTTCTGGCTAATTAGAAGCAAAAGCAGACGAGGCGACGGCAGCCAGCAAAGTGTGAAAACGAACCGAATCTGCTGCTCTTGATTGGAATGGATTGGACGTGGTCCGGGAGAGCTGGACGTTGTCCGAAACAGGTCACGCGACGGGCCTCGCTGAGGCGTGTCCTCCCCAGCTTCCACTTGGAAGCCCAATCCCAATTCCAATCCCAACACGACCATTGGAGCCATCAAACCCCCATTTGCATAGGCCAACTTTCTACTCGAATGATACGAGGCCCCAAAATATCACAATTTCACTCCAAGCATGCCATGAGCATGTTCCTCACAGGTCCAATGATTCCAGTTTATCCACCTGACCACTCCCACTCTTTACAAACCATATACCATAGGCATTCCTTCCCTTAAAGACTAAAAATAGTAACATGGTTATCCACTTACCCTTGAGCAGGTGCTGCAAGATGTTGTCCTTGTGCTCCTCGGAGTGCGGCTCGCCCATGACGATGAGCAGGTAGCAGCCGGTCAGGGGGCTGGGCGGACCCACAATGCCGCCGGCCAGGCTGGAGGCAGCACCACCGTCGGCATCCGAGCAGCCGGTATCGAGGGGCGCCCGGCCGCCAATCTCCGACGGGGGCAACGAACTGGCCCCGGCATCGGTGGCGGCATCATCGCCGGCATCCCCGCCGCCGTCCTGCTCCACCTGGCCGGGTTCCTGGTCCTGGTTCGGGTTCGGTTCCCGATTGCCGTTGCCGGCTGTTCCGTTACCAGGACCACCATTGCCACTGCCGTTGCCGACGGCGGGCAGGCTCTCGTGGGTGGCGGCCATTACGGCTCCAGATCCAGATCCAGATCCAGCTCCGGATCCCGATGCTCCTGTGCCTGCGTCTGCTCCTGTAGTCGTTGCTTTTGGCTGATCTCCCATCACAGTTGGAATTTGCGTGGCGTTAGCTTTGCGTTCACACAGGCGGAAAAAAAAAAAATTCGTTTCTTACACTCGAAAAAAAAGTGGGTATGCTCTGCAGGCTTTCACCGGGTATTGGGTATTTTTGGGGGTTTCACTCGCGACTCTTCGGAATAGGGCACTGAACGGGGGGAAAGGCGGCCGAACCAGAGGTGACTTCCTGGCCTGGAGAGTTACTTTGTTTGTCTTTAGGGGTTCTGTCTTTGTTTTTTGTTTGTGTTTGTTGTGTTTGTTGTACTTGTTGTTTTGTTTGCTGGCCGTGACCTTGGGTTTTTTATTGGCAACTGTGCCTTCTCAAATGGGTATTCGATTTTGTATTTTTTTTTTAATAATAATTTTAATTGGTTTTTGGTGTCTTTCTTTGGTTTTTGTTTGCTGTCTTTTATTGTGCACACTTTGAAGCTGTGTTTGGTATTTTGTATCTTTGTATCTTGTATCTTTGTATCTTTGTATCTTTAAGTTGAATTGAAATCTCTTTGGTTTTTCGGCTTGGAGAGTAAGTTTTTGCGGCAATTGGCGTGTTCTCGTTAAGTATTATTAGTTAAATATATAATGTATATATACGTATATATGTATATAGTGAAGATTTGGACTAGCTTGTAGCAATTACTTGACTTTTTTTCGCTTTTTTTTTGTTTTGGTTTTGTTTTATCGATAACTTTGGTTTTTTTTATTAACTTTGGCTTTTTTTTTAGATGAAAAATTCGATACGACTCGGACTCGTCTCTCAGTGTTCTTTTTTATTGGCTTTCCTGCGTTTGCTGGGCGACTTGGTCACTTGTGTATCATCAATCATCAATCATCAGATCTAGAATGGAATAACAGAAATCGGAGGGTTAGACACGACTTAAGTCCACCAGGCAGGACGCTTAATCCTTTCAAGTTATTGACTCCCCCATCACCCGGAATATGGATATATGGACTCTGGACTCCCTCGCCACCCAACGTCCCCCGTCGCCACCCATTGTTTCCCGCTTTCCCAGCGGAGCTGCCAGACAGCCGTCATCCGGATGGCCGGAGGAGCGGCTATAAAAAGACGTCCGACAGACAAAAGGAAGAGAAGGAGGTGCATGGGGCATGGGGGAGGAGGTGCCAGTGGTGACGACGTGGAGCCGCACATAAAATCCATTGAACTTTGGCCGCCTTGCAAACACGGCCCTGTGGCCCGGGAGCAGAAACAAAGTGCAAGGAAACTATAATTTCATTTCGCTAATGACTTTTCCCAGCCACTTTTCCGACTACTCTCCTAGAATGGCTACAAAGTACGAGATCGATAAGGGGCTATTAGGAGCACTTTTCCCAGGAATACCATTCTGGATGCATCTTGGAACTAAGTGATTCTCCGAACAGGAATAGAGCCGTATTGAATAACAGATTAAGATTCCAAAAACCCACCAGCAGGGAGACAAGGATCACATGCACACACGCCCCATTGCAAAGATGTCGTCATCGCCGGCTAGTCAGTCCTTTTTTTCAGCACTCGCTCCACGCAACCATGGCAACGATGGCGATGGCAACCACGGCGACATGGAAGGCGACGTCATCAGCGCCCAATGCCTGCCCCTGCCCCTGCCACTGCCACTGCCAGTGCCCTGCTTCCACCCTGCTCCTTGTGTGTGCGCTCTACCCCCCTGTTTGGCCGGGCCGGGTCGGGCCGGGACTGCAGGCGAAAACTATAAAAAGCAACCAGCACGAAAACTCCTTTGGATGTTTCCGCCCGTCGGTCGCCTGCTGCCGTAATCCTTCAAGTTCTCACCCCCTGTCCCCTCCCCTCATGCCACACACAAACTGCAGTTTGTCGCGTGCCCCTGCCAAAAAAAAAAAAAAAAAAAAAAAAGAAATAAGGAGAAGAGAAATATACATATAAATGTTGCACTCCACTGCGCCGGAGTTGCTCCAAGAAGCCGGGAGTCGTAACCGGGGGCTGATGATTCACCGGCCATTGCCTATTCGATTTTTGAGAGCTCTGAGAGTGGATACCATGACTAGGTTCCCCCAATGTTAATCCCACCTCCGAAAACCACCTCCCAAGACCCAGGGTATTAAAGTCTTCGACTATCCACCTAGCCGGCTTTCGCATATGGACAGATGCGGCTTTTCGGAAAAAAAAAAGGGAACTCGGATGGGGTAAGGTGGGAGTTCTTGTCTGGGGGGGGGAGCCCAGTGCGGAAATTGTGGCTATTTCGGGATGTGTCGGGACGGAGGAGCGCTCTTTGATCGCTGCTCTTCGCTGGACTAAGCCGGGTGGGGGAATAATCGATGCAAGTGCAACTCCAAAAGTGGAAAAAGGAAGTTAGCCAAGTAGCGGAATCAATAGGTCACACACACACTCACGCACACACACACACACACACACAGGCATACGCACACTATGGGCGAGCAGCACGTGGTGGAGACTCTCACTGCCTTCGGGGGTACCGTTATATGATATCACCATAAGAAGCCACAGAAAAAAAAAAAGTAGGTGGCAAGGACCGACCGACACTCGAAAAATGACGGTTTCACACAATTAATTTGCACAATAAAATAACGGCAAAAAAAAAAAAATGTTGAAGGAATTAAGCGATAGAAAAAAAAAAACTGTTTCTTGCCCACCGCCTGCCAATTTACTTTGGCTTTCTCTCTTCGCCTTGCTTTTTGCTTTTGCTTTTGCTTTGCCTCTTTCTCCTGCTCTGGCTCTATCTCTTTTCCTCTTGTTTAGCTGCTGTGCTTCTTCGCTGGAGTTGGAGACTGGAGACTGAAATCCCTGGCGGTGCGCTGCGCTCACTGCAAACGGTTTGAAAGCTCGACGACGACTGATTCGCTAGCAGAGCCATCGAGCACCACGAAGCGAAGCCAGCCAAGCAGCAGAGGCAGTGGCGGCAGCAGAAGCAGCGACGCCAGTCGGCTGTCGGCAACTCCAGTTGCCGCCGTTGTTGTTGGAACTTCCAGCTGGGCGCAGCGCAACTCTCTCTCCTCCTTTCCTCCTTTCCTTCTTTCCTCCTCCCTTTCTCTCTCTCCGCACTCAGCTGTGGGCTCGTCGTCCTGCCGCCTTGCCTTTCTCTGGTTCCCCTTTATTCTTCGGGGTGGGTGCTTTTCGTTTTCCATAGCATACATCAGAGCTGGCTTGTACTGCTTAGGGTAGGGTATCCACCAGTTCGACTCCCTACCTCGGGGCCGGCTTGGGGATTCGTTTAGGGGCCGAGCACTGGTTCGGCAAATATTCGGACTCGGTATCGGACTCGGTCTCGCTGATTCGCCGCTTCCAGTTAACGGTTATAGGCTCCTCTGCCTACCGGCACAGGCACCGGCACAGAAACCGGCAAAGCTGCCAGCCCCAAGTCTCCCCCCCTCAGGACTCCACACCCCCTCAAACTCTGTGGGCTATTCCGTTATTTACTGTGAGATTTGTGTGTGTGTGTGTGTGTGTGTGTGTGACTCTCCCCCTCCGGAGGATCCCCTGGTTTTTAGCTTCCACCTCTTGTTGGTTCTGTTCTTGCTCCAGCTTCTCCCTGTCCACGTGGTCATCTGTTGGACCCGGCTCCCGGTTCCTTTTGTTCCTGCGGCTAATCAACTGCACAAAGTGAACGAAGAAGAGCTACTAACGGGACTTGGGCTTGATTGAATGGCTCGACTAACGGGAAGCCTGGAAGGCGGCTAGGCGCTAATGAAATTACGCAATTTCCAGTGAGTAGGGAGGATCGCTGGAAGGGAGACTGAACCGTTAAGGACCGAAGCCTTTCCGAAGGAAAACTCTCTCTTCTCTGCGAAGAAGACTAGTCTTTAAAGACGGGTCTTTTTTGTAAGAAGACCATAAATAAAACCCAATCATGCTTCAAATTTGTGCGATCCATTCTGGTCTTGCTGGAAAGAGCGAGAGTGGCTGGGAGGGGGGCAGGGGATTGGGCCGGGGACTGCGGACTCTTAGCCACTGGAAGCTCAGGGGCGGCCCCCCGTCCGACCATCTGATTGCGCGCCGGCAGAGCTTCAGTCTGCAGCTGTTCGTTCGGGGGATAGTATCGATTTTACCGTTCGCGGCCCATTCGGCTTGCCGGCAGCCGAGCGCCTCCGAAGCAGCCCAAAACAGCTGACTGTGTGCTGGCCACCTTGTGGGCGCTTGTGTAACGCTCAGCTGAGCGCGAGGCAGCCAACCGTGGCTCTGCTGGGGGGGCCCTGCTGCAAAATCAGATGCAACATGCAAAGTTTCTGCTGCAGCTGCAGCTGCTGCCCACTCATGCCCCCACCCCCACCCACCAGATGCTGCGACGGCTGCTGCCTTCTTGTCTCTCATGATCATGAAACACAAACAAAATGTGGCAAATTACCTCTGCCCTGACCTATGACACACTGTGCTGCGCCCATTCATTGCGCTCCCGGCCCTAGACTCACCTTGGTTTCTTGCAGTGTAGTGGCGTCTCACTCGACACCTGTCATTCGATTGGATGGAGCAACTGTTCTGTCTAAGATTAGGTTCTGTCGTTTTAGCTTTTAGCACAAAATGGACACTTGATTCGGCTTAATTTTAAAAACACTGTTAATTTATATATTTTTTGGTAAATTTATAGCACAAAGCGGACGCGACTGGCAATAAGCAAATTCTATAATTAAATCGATTAAATATTTATTGGTTTTTGGTTTTTGTTGGTATTTTGTGTTTTTTTTTTTTTTGGTATTTTGTTGGCAACTTAAAGTTTCAGAGTTGTCCGAAACCGAAATAAACTTTAGACGGATATTGATTTTTAACTGCTGTGACACTCTATATCTAACTCTCTTTCTCTTTCTCTCTCGCTCTCTCTCTCTCTGTCTGTCGCTCTATCTCTGTCTCGCTCACTGGTGTCTGTGCACTTTCGTTTGTTGTTGTTTCAGCCTGGGCTGGAGTTGGAGTTCGAGGTGGCAACTGGGGCCTAATTGATTGATTGCCGCCGCTGGCATTTAGGCCTTCTCCCTTCCCTGGCTACAATATTTTTTCGCCTTTTAGCCTTTTCTCCTTTTGCTTTATTCGCTATTTTTTTTTTTTTTTGGCTAAAACTCTCCTGTGCGGACTGTGGTCTGTTTGCTGGCGCCTGGCTCTGGATTTTTACTCTGATTCCGGATTCCGAGCAGCAGCAGCGAGTGCGGCTGGCTGGCATTCCCGTTACCGGTTACCGTTACGGCTGCCGCCGTTACCGTAACCGTTAACGGAGCCCCGCCCCCGCCCAGCCGCTCCCCTAGCCCACTTCCATTGCAAACACACTAACACACTTCTTCGGCCTCGTCGCCGTCTTTGGCTTCGTTTCCAGCTTCGCCAGCGCCAACGCCAGTGCCAGTGCCAGTGCCTTCGGCTTCGGCTGGCTCTTCCTCCAGCTTTTGCTCTTTTTTGGCACACTGGAACCTGGCGAACATGTGACATGAGCCGGAAGGGCTGGAAGGTTTTCCACTGGCGCCGGCGCATTGCCGGCACGACAGCTGACGAAGCGGAGCCGAACAGCTGATTGTTGCCAGCCACGGCGACGACCGAAAGGGAAGTCCTGCCCCCCACTGGGCAGGCGGGGCGTGGCGGGAGGCGGCGGACGCCCAAAGGATAGGAGGCTCAGACGCCGCCGGCCCGTAAAGCGTCTGATGCCGTCGGGAAATGCGAGGAATGCAAATGCGGCCGGATATAGATTGGCCATAGATAAGTTCGAGGAAATGAATATAGG